GTACCCTATTTCTAGTAAGAACTTGAACATTACGTCAAAGTACATGATAGTTCTAGAAACGTTGCGTCACAGTGTCATGTGACTCGCTGACGCAACAATATTTTAATGAGTAAAACCTATCAAGATATTTCTATTGTTAGGAATGAAACTAATATCGTAACAGGATGTATTAATCAGAGCTTTACTATAAACGTTTATTGTTTATCATAACAGGCTGTATCAATCAGAGCTTTACTATACACGTTTTGTTGTTTATTATAACAGGCTGTATCAATCAGAGCTTTACTATACACGTTTTGTTGTTTATTATAACAGGCTGTATCAATCAGAGCTTTACTATAAACGTTTTGTTGTTTATTGTAACAGGCTGTATCAATCAGAGCTTTACTATAAACGTTTTGTTTGCTGTTTATTGTAACAGGCTGTATCAATTAGAGCTTTACTATAAACGTTTTCTTTCCTGTCCATCTTCTGAAAACCCTTGACTTTTGAGACCAATCATCCCGCAACTTTCAACGTCTGCTTGCTTTCTGTTATTTCATCTTGTGAATCAAGACATGTGACCCGCATCTTATTAAGTGCTTTTTGTTAAAGAATATTCTCATTATAGAATAATATATCTTCCTTTTCATGAGGATAACACAGGGACAACATAACAATATTACACTATCACGGACCATTTTCTTTAATAACTAAATACAATTACTTTGATTTTGAAATATCGTCTGTATCTCCTTCTTCGGGTAGGTTATCCAGAAAATTATTCGTAAGCTTTAAACATATTAGGAACAGGCAATTATCCAAAAATTCTATCTCTTAGAATACACCACAGTACTAAAATTTTACCTGTTAAAGGATACCAAGCTGCACCATTTGTAGTTCCATTTTTAAATCCTGGTGTCCCAGTAGGACAGGGTAGGCCTAAGTGCATATTATGATGATTAAATGAGTATACTGCCGCTAGATGGCGAAACACGTCATCATCGGGTGTGATAGAGGGACTACTGTATGACTTGAAAACTAAAACAAAAATGTTATTAAATTACAACTTTGAATAAAACATAAAAGTTAAATTTTATATATGTAAGTAATACCATATTTCGTATTGATAAAAAACGAAAAATTTTTGAATTCTCTAACAGAAATGTGAAATACACTAATATTAAAGTTAAATATTAAAAGACGCACAAAATAAAAGCACGGCAAAGTGATAAAAACTTATATAAATTTTTCAGAGATAACAGATTAAAACAGAAACATATTGCCGTAGTAAAACATTAAAAGGTGAGGAAAGATAATTTATATATATAACATAGAAGTTAAATTTAGTTTACAGCTTTAAAACGCAACATAAATTTTATTTCAAATGAATTCGGATAGATCCATAAAAATATAGCTGAAAAAGAGGGATTTTTTTACATTAAACTTCAATGTTTTGTAGCTAATTCTCACCTGAATTAGGAGTATTGTCAAACGGGTAGCTTGCAACTAGCGCGCCCCCGTGGATATTTCCCGATAAAACAAACTGAATTTGTTCAATCCACTCTCGAACAGCTTTGGTCTCAGGCTGTTGTTTTACGTCATTGGCCTTGAAGTAGTCGGGGAAATTCCGATTAAGGTCAAACCCTCGAGCGTTGTATCTAAACGAGAGTTAGGTGCTGTAAGGATGTAACCATGGAAACCACGAATTCTGTTTCCGTTAGGTTAAAACACGTTAACAAAACGAAGCCACTTTCAATACGCCTTTATTTATTTATTTAAACCAAGCAAACAAGTAAAAATGAATGAATAAAAGATCGAACCACAGTCCTTGCTACAACAGTTTTACAGTAAAAAATTCAAAGCAAACAAACCAAAAGCAAATAAAGACATTTTTTAACTTCAGTACCAGAAGTAAACTTTTCCTGAAGTGACTGACGCCTCATTTTCCTTGCAGAAAATTGGTTATGGATGACGAAACTGCATTTGTACCGGCTTAAAAACTACAAGTTGCATTTTACCCGCTTATTTACAAAAAAAAAAAAAATATATATATATATATTCTGGGATGCATGTAGCCTTCTCTCCAACTTATCGTTATTGGTAGACATGAGGAGCCAGCTACTTAACGTTGGAGAGAAGGGATTATCGTTATTGGTAGACATGAGTTAAGTAGCTGACTCCTCCCTTCTCTCCAACTCATGTCTACCAATAACGATAAGTTAAGCTCCTGACTCATCCCTTCTCTCCAGCATTGGGTTTGTGGCAATCATTTTTATGTAAAATAAGAAGAAAAACAGCAAAGATATTACTAAATCTATGTTTGCTTTCTTTGACCTCTTCAATATAGGACAGTTATAATCTTAGGGATATGCCTACCTTCCTTGACCACCTAAACATCGATTCCCTTCAGTTTATGACCTATATTTCTTGACCACCTGTACACTAACCCTCATGAGTTTATGACCTACCTTCCTTGACCTCCTGAACATTGATTTTCTTTCGCGACTTCGAAACCGTCTGGATTCATGGTTGGCATGATGTGAATCCTTGTGTTATCTAGAAGCCAACGGACGTAGTCATCAGTGTGGTAATTCTTGACGAGATAAACAATAAGATGCAGCATCAATTCTCTTCCTACCGCCTGTAAAAGTAATCGCATAATATCAGGTTATTGTTAACTAGCACCGACAGTCACTCCAAAAGTTTAGTTCAGCAAGATCTTAAACATAAATCGCATAACACCAGGTTATTGTTAACTAGCACTGACAGTCACTCCAAAAGTTTAGTTCAGCAAGATTTTAAACATAAATCGCATAACATCAGGTTATTGTTAACTAGCACTGACAGTCACTCCAAAAGTTTAGTTCAGCAAGATCTTAAACATAAATCGCATAACATCAGGTTATTGTTAACTAGCACTGACAGTCACTCCAAAAGTTTAGTTCAGCAATATCTTAAACATAAATCGCATAACATCAGGTTATTGTCAACTAGCACTGACAGTCACTCCAAAAGTTTAGTTCAGCAAGCACTCAATAAGCTAGAGGTGATAAAAAAGTTGCTCAAACATTATCGATACATAGTTGTACTAAAAACCTAATATGAGTGGTAAGACGGCCCACCCTTTAACTCTCCAAGCAATAATATAGTTGTATCAACGACCACAGGGGTTTTCCTAGTGAGCAATAAATCACAAATTTTGCACCTGTAAAAATATTTGTGCAGTTGAAAATTCACCAATATAAGTAAGTTCAAGTGGATAAATCCTTAGGACCGATAAGACGGCCCACTCCTTACCTCGAGAAGATAAACAATTTTCGCTGATGTGGTGAACTGCTGTTTTATTGGTTTTTGTTCATATAGATATCGAGAGTATTATATGTGTATACACACAGACGCTCTTTATACGGCAGGTAACATGGCTGCTTTCTTTTAAACTTACCGCTTGGAGCGCTGCGGTTATCCTCATTACAATTTTCGATCTCACTGAATAGCCTTAGTGACATAAAGACTTTGCCTGTACTCGTTGTACTGTCAGAAATCTCAAGAAGAAAAAATATTGTTTTAATTCATTATTGATAGAAATATCTGTCATCAGTTTCCTACGTGAATATTTGAAAGAAACAACACCAACAAAAAACACGCAAACACATAAACTGTAACATGTTTTAATTAACCCTAAATATACATTTCAAAGTGAAATACCTGGTTGGATTAGTGCCAGTAGGGGCTGTAAACGTATAAATACCTCGTATTGTTATATAATCATACTTGAGAACTTTAAACTTAAAAGCTAGCAAATTATTGACACTAGGTTTGGAAAATGTTTTATAACAGTTTAATTGAGTCACACTAAAACTAAGTGTAAAAACTCCTGCTAACAATTTTTGAATCAAATCAAAAACAATCAAATTACTATTAGATGTAGGTTTTGTTTTGTTTTGAATTTCGTGCAGAGCTACACGAGTGTTACCTGCGCTAGCCGTCCCTAATTTAGTAGCGATAGACTAGAGGGAGGACAGCTAGTCAACACCACCCACCGTCAACTCTTGGGCTATTCTTTTACCAGGGAATAGTGGAATTGACCGTAACATTATAACGCCCTTACGGCTGAAAGAGCGAGCGTGTTCAGTGACGGGGATTCGAGCCCTCAATCCTCATGCTGCGAGTCGAGCGCCCTAACCACCAGGTCGTTTTGGGCAGCACTAGGATTAATTCATACATTTGTTTCAGAGCAAAGCCACGTTGAATTATCTGCTATGTCCATCGCGGGGAAATGACCTCCATACTTTAACGTTGCACTTTAACGTTGCAATTCCTAAGACTTACCTTCGTCCTCGAACTTAACTAGCTCACTGCAACGAAAACTACGCATTAAATAAACCAAATTAATCAACAGATATCAAGACTATAAAATAGAAAATATTTTTACCTCATTGCCATGCATATTGGCGACATATTTAATATTGGGTTTCAGCTCTGGTTCTTCACGGGGATTTTTCGAAACAATAATAACCCACAAGTCTCTTCCTGATAAAAAATATATAATAATAATAACCCATAAGTCTCTTCATGATCAAAAATAATAACCATAATAACCCATAAGTCTCTTCCCGATAAAAAAAAGTAATAATAATAACCCACAAGTCTCTTCATGATAAAAATAAATAATAATAACCTACAAGTCTCTTCCTGATAAAAAATAGTAATAATAATAACCCACAAGTCTCTTTCTGATAAAAATAATAATAACCCAAAAGTCTCTTCCTGATAAAAAAAAAAAAAACATAAATGAGAAACTAAATCTGCATTTTTATATCAAAACTTCACCAAGAAACTTAATTCTCTTAA